TGAGCCAACGATTTGGTTTATATTTGACATGCAGTATTTGAACGTAATGAACGATATAATAAATGGCATTTAAACTTTTTTTTTCTTCTTTAAAATTGTTGAATGATGCATAGACTAAACCGTCAAATTTTGCATGGGATAGGAAGACAGAGGTCGACAGGTTCCACCATTCCAAAATTAAACCAAACACAGAGAAAGGAGAAGAGAAATTACCTGATTCAGAACACAAGGGAAAAACAGAGCTATAGTTGGTCAAGCGCCAATCTTAAATGCAAGAAAACAAAAGATAAAACGAATGTGTTCACACTGTGCAAGTGCAATCTCTTTCTCAGTCACTTAAATTTGTAATAAATTCACCCTGTTAGTCATTCTTTTAGTCTCCATGGTGTGGAGCTAACCTAAAGGATTAAATCTGATGCAAATTAGAGCCTGCCTGGGAGATTTTTTAAGCAGAAAAAGATTTTTTGAAAAATGTGGTTAAAAAGCCAGAAGATGTATGAATCTCATAGAATGTATGGTTGGAAATGATTAAAAAAAAAAAAAATTTTCCCAAACAAAATCTTAGAGAGCAAGCAGCACAAGTAAAAAATAAAACAAGAACGAGAAGAAGATAATAAACAACCAAGTGACGATGTTTCCTCACCTAAAATTCAAATTCAACGTCCTAACCTCACTTTCCTTATTTTCATCCTTCTGTCCACTCATATGGAGAATCTTACACGGTTCAAATTAGAATTTTTTTACTTGGAGAGAGAACTTAATCATCTGTACTGGCATCGAAGTAAAGAGAGAACTGAGCGTAAAGGACGCCATTATTATTGGCAATAAAGGAGTCACAGAATTCTAAGGCAGAGAACTTCCCTCAAGAGGACATCAAGAGCAGTTGAAGTAGTAGAAAAGAAGTCCTCTACCTGAGCAAGATGAAGAAACCAAGGTAGGCAACTCTGTTCTTGAAACCAGGCTTTCAGCTGTCAAGGTTTTTGTGGAAGAATTCACTCAAGGGGACTTGGAGAAGAATATAAAAGATTCATCTTACATTGATCCAAGTGGAAGAAGTTGAGAAAATGGTGCTCGTCTTTACCAGCAGATGTTAGCAGCAGGATCATAGATAATCAGGTACTGACTTCATTCAGTTAGCCACTGATGGCATATTTGGTAAAGAAGATTTAATAGAACTAGAACAAACATGCACTGATCGTTTTGTTTTAACATATAGTTACACTTCATCTTTCTATATTAACTTTTATTCATCCCAAGTTTATATCCTAAATTTTTGTTTCAACCCATGCTTTTCTTTAACATTTCATTAACAAGCAAATCTTTTTTCAATCATGGTTTTCGTCCAAAAATATTTTTAGCATGCTTTAAGACGATGGACAAATGTTTACTCGCAATTTTATTTAGTTTACTTTTTTTTTTTTTTGCTTATTTAAAAATATGAGGATAAATAAGTCTTTTTACTCAATCTTAACGAAATTTTGGAACAGAAATTGTGATCAGGGATAGATTGTGTTAATTTGAAAATAAGATTGCCATGAAAAAAGTTGAAGACATAATGCAATAGAGAGTAAAAGTTATGGACCTTTCATGCAATATAAACGTGATGTAGTTATTAAAAAGTGTAGTGTGAAAAGTTCACATGCGATAACCACAAAAGAATGCCACTCCCTTAATGCAGAACTCAAAATAAGATCATAACAATTAATAGTATTATGGATGAGATATATCACCGGACTCAACCAATTTGGAGAACACGTCAACAATTTCCTAGAAAGTACCATATGAAGTTCCAAACAAATTTTCCTCTTCCATAAAAGCAAGGATTGATCTCATAACACAACACTGATAAATCTGCACTGTTCATATCAATATGATGTCGTGAAGTAACTGCAAACCAAAATAAAGCACCGCAATAAAATATTACGGTGACATCCATAGAAACATATACAAATTTCAAGCAGTGAGCAGTCCAAACTCAAAAATCATTCCCCACATATTTGATCTCATAATATCCAAATTTCAGTAAGTCATATTCACCATAATCACCACACTATATTCCCCAGCCTGAAGGTTTCTAAACAAAATATATATTGTTCAAGTACTAGCCAACAATAATATTATTAAAAAGTTACTACTGGTATCAACTAAAATCACCAAACTCAGAAGATAGAAACCCAAACAAACAAAAGAAATAGAACTTATCAAAATCGAAAACTCTTTTTTCTTGGGTTAGAATAGAGCTCTCCTAACCTCTAACTCCTGCATGTTTGCGTGCATCCAATCGTTGCTTAGTGCTTACTAGAGACATGTCGAAAATAGCAGACAACACCTAACACCGAAGCGGCAGCAACAGCTGATCCCACCATTACCGCCCAATCCCTTTCCTTTGGACCACCAATCAAGCCCTTTTTTTCTTTGTCGACCACAAAATCCCTATTAATACCACCATTAACACCTTCCATAATCAATTTTTCCTTTGCCTTCACTTCCTCAACCAATTTACTCTCCAAAACTCCATTTTTCCTTTCCATTTCCTCAACCTCTTTTTCCAACTCATTTTTCAACTTCTCCAATCCCTCATTCTTTCCCACCACAGCCTCCAATTCCTCAACTTTCTTCTTCAAACCTCGAATCTCCTTTTCCTTCTCTTCCATTTCATTCCTGAAATCGCTCTTTTTCTCCTCCAATTCACTGACCTTCACCATCAACAAATCCCTCTCCTTCTCAATTGCCGCAAGCTTAACATCCTTCTCCTTATTCCTTCCGTTCATTTCCTCCAAATCCTTTTTCACCTCTGATAATTCCACATTTGATTCTTGCAAATCACTCATCGCAGATCCCAAGTCGTGATGCATGCGTGCCACTTCGGCTTCAAGCTCCGCAGCTCGAGCCGCCACTGCCCCAAGAGCCTTGTTCTCAGATTCAGAACTTTCAACCTGTTTTTTCAACTCCACATTTTTTGCATCCAAATTTTTTACAGAGGCCGTCAATTCCTCAATCCTCTCCTTGTACTTCTTGTTCTCGGAAATTATCTTCTCATTTTCCTGCTCAAGTCTATCAATCTTTTGGCTGAGAACTGAAATTTTAGACGAAACTTCATCCCCAGTAATTTCCACCGTCCGATCATCAGAGTTTTCACCGTTGATCAACGTCTCGTCCGCCATCATAGATCCCTATGAAAAGGGAAAAAAAATCAAAAAACAACTCATCTCAACAATACACAAAAAATAATCCTGAAATTGACAAAATCGAACCTGATAACGCTAAATTTAAAAAAAAAAAATGAAGTAAAATTGTGTAAATTGTTAACTGTGCGCAAAATACGTTCTGTGAACAGCCAAACAGAATGTAACAGAAATCAACATAAGAATTACAGTAAAATAAACTATGGATTTATATTTTATACTTCTTGGGATGGAAATGGGACAATTGAAGCTGTACGGTTGTTCGAGCGTCGGCCAATCGGTCCTCGACGATTGTAGAGTAACTAGGGTTTCTGATTTTTTACCGGTAAAAGTGAAAAGATATTTTTGGATGGTGGCAATGGATTGGGCGAGAGAAAAGAACAGATTTTTAGAGATTGTTGGCAGCACGTGGAGAAAGGTGTGGGAGCCACCTTTTTGGGAGTTAAATATTTCATTTATGTTATAGCATGTTTCCCAACGATTTTGGTAATAAAGATTTTGAATAGTAATTTTTAAGAGAATTTGAATTAAAAAGTAAGAAAATATTTTTGATATATATGATATTTTATTGTGTAAATGTGCGATTGAAAATGATCATATAACAAATCATAAAATAAACTAGAGAATGTCAAACAAGCACTTAACTTATACTTTCATCATATTTTACTCATTTAACTTTTAAGATATCTCTGAATGATCACTAAAGTTTAACATATTGTACTTTATCATCTACTCATCGTGTTTCACAAGTCATTGAACTTTAAAATGCTTCTGGTGATCATTGAACTTTAACATATGATTGTACTCCATCATTCACCGACCATGTTTCATTAGTTATTAAACTTATAAATCCGTCACACTTTACTCACTAAATTTTAAAATGTTTTCAAGTAGTCACTGAACTTCATAATGATTTCAATAAAGTTTACTTTATATGATATTCAACCTAGATAAAATAAAAGTATCAAATAGATTATTAGACTTTCAATTTAAAAATGAGAAATTGATATTGGTAAAATATCAAATAGATAATTAGACTTTCAATTAACTTATTCACCAATTAAATGGTGTGTCATGTTACTGATGCTTATGTTAAGCACTGGTGTTTAGGATATCATTTATTAATTAAGACTAACAAAATATAATTTTCAAAGTTATCACAAGGCAATTCAAGATGCAAGAAATGGCGTCGTTCTGTGTATAGTATTTTATCCCTTAAAATTTTTAAAATTTGAGCAATTGAATTTGGTGAGGAAATTTTTACGACCACTCGAAAACATTTTAAAATTTAGTGAGTAAAGCATGAGGAGTGTAAAAATTCAGTGACTAATGGAATATGGTGAATGAGCCTGGTACTAAAGTACCGGTTATTAAATTTTAGTAATCACTCAAGATCATTTTAAAAGTTCGGTGGCTAATGAAACACGGTGAATGAGTGAGAAGTATAACGTGTTAAATTTTTAATGACTACATAAAAGCATTTTAAAATTTAATGAGTAAAGCGTAACAGAATATAAGTTCAATGACTGAAATATTTAACTCCCTTTTTAGGTGAGGAATATAATTAGTATAATTAGGATCATTGCTTAAAAGGAGAAATATAAGGATGATTGTCTTACTGTATATATGCCATTATTTTGGAACATATGTCTGAGCATGGGCTGGACGAGATATAAAGTGAGATCAAGACTGAACTTTAAGTCGTAAAAGTGAAGCCTTATTAGTGATATGATTTCAGTCTTCCTTTACTTTAAGAGTAGGGAGTGAAATTCAAAAAATAAAAAAATTCGAACATTACATATAGAAGAATTAAATTTTAGCCAATATAATTTGGAAACAGCCAGACTGATTCAATTGAAACAAAAAAAAAAATAAAAAAAAAAATAATAAATAAATAAATAATCTAAAATTTAACCTAGTTCAATTGTGATGAAATGTTTACCACAGCAAATTCGAGTTTTTCGAACTTTATTTGATTAATGAAATTCGTATTTTCAAGTTCAACTTTTGATACTATAAATATAACTTGATTTGTTTAGTTTTATTGCACCATTATTTTATTCATATTTAAACAATATAACTTTACATGTAGGAATATTGTAAAATAATTAACTTTCTAGGTTTTGCCTAAAAAATTAGCTTTGAATAAAACACCATAATTTTATATACCCATTCATTATGTGGCTGCAATGGGTCACCGGATGTTGCCCACTGAAGTGGGATTAAGGTTTCACAAAATGGAAGTAACTGGATTGAATAATGCCAGTCTCTTGTGTGTTAGAACATTTTCAAAATTTGGTTTGATCCATCTCATATAAGATGATGTAGAAATGTAAAGCTTGTTTCTAACTTAAATCCTGCCCATTTTATTGCAGACACGATTCGAAAAAGTAAGGCGACAACAAATGAGGATATACAGTACCTTTGTGACAACATGTATCTGTGGTAGCTTTCGTATATATTTCTATTCAAATTCTGACAACAGATGGAACATTTCTCGCCATGACCATAATCTGTATCATAATCCAAAGTTCAAAGCAAGATCCTGACTTGCGAATTTCCACGCACCAAATCGAACCCAGCTGAGTTTGTGTTCATTAGTATTTACAATATGTGAGAGAGAGGAGAATGGTGGTGGTGATGTGAAGATCTCATCTCAAAGAGATTGAAACTGTATAGCTCCCACATAAAATTTTAACGAGAATCTCAACTACAGAAAGTTGGTTTAAAGAAGATAGCAGCACCCCCACCCCTACCCCTGAAACAAGACTCGATCCTCAGGCCATCACAAACTTGTCCCTGTTTTAATACATAGTTGTAGCCATACCA